GTTTTAACGACTTATCTCTAGCAACTGATTTATTTTATCTTTGCCATGAGGTCAGTAAATAATATTTTACTAGATATTTTTAAGACACTTCTTTACACCATAAGGTGACATTTAAAAGCATAACTAGGTTAATTAGCTTAACTAGTAAGGGTACTAAGGCAAGTCATTGTATAACGATGGTTTATCCTGTAGACTATTAAAACATATATAGCTTAAAAAGGCTATTTATTTTGTCCTGAAAATGATGTTCAAAAAATTAAAAACTGCTTTTATTCTAGCCGAAATAAAACAAATAAGACTTTCTCGATGTTAAAAAAAATATTATTAGAAATACTGTAAATATTTCCTTGCTCTGTTAAACATCAGGAAATATTTTTAAAAATGAAAAAAAAATGAAAGGGGGGCTAATAATTCTGACTTTAACTGTAAATATCTCTACCTAAATGAGCTGCAGCAGTCACTTCTGTTTATTGTAACAACTGGAGATTTACAATGACTGTATCATTAAAGAACATAAGAGTGTGGCTGAATTATATTTTTGAAAGAAATAAACATAGTTATTTGAGCAAAAAAATATTTTATCTGTTACTACAGATTGCTTTACTGACCAGCTTCTCTTCAATTCCGTTTCTGAAGAATGATAGCTAACAATACATGCTGTAAGGTCCTAAGACAAGTACTCATATTATGAGACAGTCCAAATGCCCAATATACAGTATGTTCTTTTTGAATGTGACTTGCTGTGTCCCAAATTGCACACACTCTGCCCTTATGCACTTACACACTCAACAGCATAGTATATAAATTTAGTGTCGCCCCAAACGGAACACAAACGGCTGGTTGTTTACTAAGTTAACCTGAAATTCAAATCGTTTCACCAGATGATGTTTGACGGTTGCTAAATTCGTGAAATAATTAATCAAACTAACAAATGGTAGCCTACCTGCCAGTAGTACCGCATTCACCATCGGGAGGCGATATAATCACTCTAGTAGGAGAAGTTTGATTTCACGATCCAAAATAAATAAATGAAGAGCTCGATAGCTCCGCCTCTTCCGCTACGTGAGCAAAGCTGCGGCCGTTCAGTGCGTGAAGTGTATGTAAAGTGCACTTATTTGCACTACTTAAACTATTTATACTACAAAATAGCTTAGAACAGTGCATCAAAAATAGCTCATTTTGGAGCACTGACTTTTCCTTAAACTTCATTTTAAATGAAGGTTTAGCAAAATATCAAAGATAATAATATCATAGTTTTAATATTATTAAATAATAGCACAGTGTTAAAGACATAACTTGAATCAAATAATGAATTATATATGAATTGTGGTTTAAATATGTTCAGAATTATTAATAATAAATCCTGTATAAACATTCATTCATTTTCTTTTCGGCTTAGTCCCTTTATTAATTTGGGGTCGCCACAGCGGAATGAACCACTAACTTATTAAGCATATGTTTTGCGCAGCGAATGGCCTTCCAGCTGCAACCCATCACTGGGAAACAACCCAATTCACCCAATTCAAATAATTGCGTAAATTGTTCAGTTGGGTAAGCTAATTTGTGCGTTTTGTATGTGTGTGAATGAGTGTGTATGGATGTTTCCCAGTGATGGGTTGCAGCTGGAAGGGCTTCCGCTGTGTAAAACCAATGCAATCTCATGCCAATTTGTAACTTTAATTTAGTGGCTAATTTGTATGAATCTAATCATACTAATTCATACAATCTAATTCATACAATTTAGTACGATTTGCTCATTGCCCAATGACAGTTGGTGGGGTTAGGTGCCACGCCACCTTTTTAAAGTCAAACATTTTCATACGACGGAACTCGTACGTATTCGAACGAATTTGCCACTAAACTGACAAAACGTCAAATACTTACGATTTCTCGTGAGATTTGGCACATATGCTGGTTAAGTTGCCAGTTCATTCCGCTGTGGTGAAACCAGAATAATAACGGGACTAAGCCAAAAAGAAAATGAATGAATGAATTCTAAATATATATACAGTAGCACAAAAAAAACAGTTGGACATTTTTACAAAATATTTATGTTAGTTGGTTGAATTATAATCGAGTGTTAAAAAACAATATCTTGTTTTTTAGGTTACTGTACTCCATGTATTCTGTCCAATAATTTCCTAAAACTGCATTGTTGCAGCCCTTGTTCTTGTGAGTATAGCAACATATGAGATTTCCAAATATCCAAATCAGCATTTAGCACCACTAGGCCTGCTGTATACGTCTTGATGATTTGTAGGCTACTGTGTGCGGAAATGAATGTGGTGTGAGAGTGTGAGAACAGTATTAACATCACAAGTCTCACGCTTATCATTATCAACTATCTTTTATGGTGTAAATGGGCTTTTGCCTTAAATAAGCACACTGATATCCAGTACAACATGTAAATTTCAAAAATACATACTTGACTTTGAAAATAATGTTATAAAATTATAGTTATAAATTGTATGTAAACCAGAAGTGCTTGGAAGCTTGTCAGCTGATATTGTGCACCACTTTTTACAGGAGAGGTTGGAAAAATAGTAAAGCACATCATTATTATTAACAGCGTAGTGTAAGTTACTTAAAAAGTAATAGATTACAAGCTACTGACAACTACTGGAAATTTGTACTTTTGTTACAAAACTAATTACTCTATGTAAAAAGTAATCAGATTACTAAATAATTTATTTTGGAGTTACTTTTAGAACATATAAAACATACAAAATAACCTCCAGTTCTTTTAGTAATTTAATATTTACAGAAAAAAAAACATTATAATGGGTTTAACAAAGCAACTTGACAACTTCAAAATATTTAAGAAGATCATTTTAAGATTTGGGCAAACTATCTTGTCGTTTACTTGCATGCCTTCATTGGAAATAACACAGCAAACAATTTTGTGTTCAAAAGATGTTTTGTCGGTGCAATAGCCTAGTGGTTAGTGCATCAACAAATGGTGCAGTAGCATGTCAGGGTGTCCCGTGGTCGAATCCCAGTTCGATGATTTCCTTACCCCCCACCCTCTCTCTATCCAACTTTGCTTCCTGTCTAAATGCTGTCCTCTCTAATAAAGGCAAAACGATTTTTTAAAATCTTTAAAAATAATAATAATTTTTTTTTTAAATTGACGACTAATAGTCATCTAAACGTAGACAGCTTGGCTAAGACAAGGCTCAATTTGGGCTGTCAGTGAAAATCTAATAGACATCGAATAGCCCTAGACCTGTCATCAAATAGACAGATTAGACAGACTTTGCATGTCATTCATTTCTGTTTATTTGATGACCAGTCTAGTTTTGGCATATTCTTATTCTAGAGGTCAATTAGATTTTCACTGACAGTCCAGATTTAGCTTTGTTTTAGCCAAAATGACTATGTTTAGACATCTATTAAACATCTTTTAAAAACAAAAAATTCTTGCTGGGAACAAACTTGCGCATGCAAAAGATGCAATATGTGGATGTCCCCATACGCAGCTACACTTTAGATTTTCAGAGGATACCTTTACTTCCAATCCTACACACAAATCCAATTTAGCCTGTTAAGGCTGAGTTGGGCCACTGTGTTAGGGCGCCAGTTTCCTCCTTAGTGATGAGTATTGTCCTAGAATGCTTTCTGTTAAGTGCTTGAACAAGTTGCTGGTCGAGTTAAAAGCAGCTGAAAGTTCTTTAAAGGCTGGAAGAAGCAACCACTCTCGACAGCAGCCAATTCAGCTCAGCATATTAGCTCAACCCTTTTCACATTACTGTCGTTGCAGCTGAAAACGTAATTTAAGAAAAAGCAAATATTGTTTTATATGTTCTATATGTAATGTAACACAAGTACACTGACTTTGGTAACTGTAATCAATTAGACAAATTCAAAATGTAACCCGTTACATTACTGTGTTCCCCCAAAATGTGATTAAAATACAGTAACACACTACTGTGGAATGAGTTACACCCAGCTCTGATTATTAATATTATTACCATGTTTTATTTTTTTTTACTATTTTTCAGATCCAAATTCTGTAAATATATATCAATTAATGCACATTATCATCCGACAAGCTTCCAAGCAAAAATTAGTGAATAAATTGTCATTAAAATGCAGCATTTAAACCTCATAAACGAATACAAAATGACAGGAATAACTTCAAAATGTTATCACCGGGCTGGGTACAGACATGTGCTGTACGATTAACATCATCTAATATACGTTTTTAAAATCATGTTATATTATAACATGAAGAAAATTTCGTTTTTTATTAGTGATCATTGATCAAGAGTCATCCTCAAAGTCCACACAGATGTAAGGTCACAGTGAGTCTTCTGAAATCTTCAAAGCTGAAGATTTGACATAATAATAATAATAAAAATTCCTTACATTTATATTGCATTTTAGGTACTCCAAGCACTTTAAAGGGGAACAGAGTTGCAAGTTTTCCCATGTGGTTTCCCATCAAGATACAAAACATGCACAGCCCTGCTTAGTGGATGACCATGTTAGAACTATGAGAGCGAGCTGCAGGTATGCTAACCTCTTTTCAGAATTTGTCTTCAGCATACACTGCACAACATAGAATCTGTATTTCAATAAGGACGCCACAGTCTTTAGACATTAGTCGTTAATGAGCATCACTAATATCCGCCACTGTATGCCTGAGAATATTTGTAAGAAAGAACATCACATTATATGTTTTATAGTTTCTTAAAAATGTCTGAATGTTTATTTGCTTCATTTTGAGCAAGAGCAAATTCTAGTGTGGCAGGAAAGGTTCTGTGGTGGGTTTGATGCCCACTCGTGATATCAGATACTGTACATCTCTAATCATTTCATCAAGTTTGCTGATGACCTATGTGATATATAATGATTTATAACTTTATGTCATAATGAGCCTTATTAGCCAATAGGGATGGGTTTGGAGTCCGGTATAAAACCAACTATCGGTCAGCACAAGCAAGAAGACGGAACAAGATCAAGACTCGACTCTTTCCACTGCATTGACACCTCAAAACATGGGTAAGAAATTTATATCTATTATGCATATTATATGTTTATAAAAAGCTCTCAGAATATAAATACAAGATTGTTTATAACACAGAGAATGCACAGACATAATAATAAAATCCACATAAATAAACACAAAAGTTAGATGTATTTTGTCAAACAAGGAACCCTTCATACCTATCTGTCCTTCTTACACAATGAATCCATAAACTGCAAATGCAAGGTTATTAAATATAAATGACAAATTTTTATTCTAATGAGGCTTTAGGAGCACCATTAGATATAGTAGAGTAGCTAATCATTTTAAACATATTGAATCCCTAAAAATGTAGATTGTTTTCTGTTAGAATTGGGTTTAATGTTAGTACTTTATAAAAAACATTACATCTGTGGAAAGTCCCCATAAAGATAACTGTAGTCTGCATGTGTGTGTATCCTCTGTCCTACAACAGTTTTCCAGGATCCCAACACCAATTCCTCTCTTTTAATCTGTTCTCAACAAGAGATATGACAAATATGCTGATTATTTGCTCAAGCAATAAATATAACCTAAGGGTAGACTTGTGAAAAAGATTTCGCAGCACAATGACACACTGACTGTCCCACTGTGCTTCTTTGTTTAGAAAACGCCAGTTCTGCACATGAAACTGGAAACTCCACAGACAAGAGCACTGTGGAGAACAAGGGATTTATAATCTTCCTTGCCTGCATTTTCTTCACCCTTATAGTGGGTCTCATTGGAAATGGGCTGGTCATATTTCTGGCAGGCTGCAGAATGAAGATAACTGTCAACTCCATTTGGTTTCTGAATTTGGCGATTGCAGACTTCATCTTTATTTTAGTTTCAATCATAGATCGTTCCTTATGGTTGAGTGGGTGTCACAGTACCTTCACAAACTACTTTGTCTCTATCACAATATCTCTAAATCTGTTTGCTAGCATTTTGTTTCTTGTAGTTATCAGTCTGGATCGATGCCTGCGCACATGGATGGCTGTTTGGGCTCAAAATAACAGAACTCTGCGTAAAGCTAGAATCATTTGCATCATCATCTGGGTTTCATCCATCGGCTACATTCTCCCTTTTTACATTTTTGAAGTTACATATACATTTTTTGTCACATGTCGATTTATAGTGACCTTTCTCATCCCCTTCCTGATCATTGCATCTTCATACATCGCTATTGGAGTAAAAATCAATCGCCTCAATATGGGGAAGCAGCTCAGGTCATACAGACTCATTATAACTGTAATCCTGACTTTCTTCATCTGTTCATTTCCACACCATGTTTGCTGTTTTTATAGATTAACTGCACAAAATAATAATTGGACTCTCACTTTTCAATTTTGGAAGCTATTTATTTTTAGTGTCTTCCTGATTTATCTCAACAGCTGTCTGAACCCATTTCTCTATGTGTTCATGTGTGATGATTATAAGAAGAAGCTGAAACAGTCTCTGGTGCTGGTGCTGGAGACGGCTTTTGCTGAAGATCATCTGGACATTAAAGAAATGAGAAAGACACAATATGATGAGCAAGAGAAGAAAACCACACTTGAATTGCTAGAAATGTAGAAAACCTTCAAGGGTTTGTGACCATTGTTAATACTGTATATAATTATCACAGTTAAAACAATCTATTCATCATAATTTTCTGTCTAAGACATATCTTGTAAATTATAGGGCCCTATCATACACCCAGCGCAATGTGGCACAAGGCGCAGCGCAATACTTGTTTGCTAGTTTCAGCTTGGCGCAAGAGTTGTTTTGAGGTGTTGCGCCACGCTCTTTAAATAGCAAATTCATTTGCGCTCATATGTGCACCCATAGGCGTTCTGGTCTAAAAAGGGAGGTGTTCTGAGGCGCACTGCTGGCGCGTTGCTATTTTGAGAAACTAAAATAGATTTTTCATTAGACCAAAACAAAGCCGGTCTAAAGTCCAGCGCAGAGTTGCGCCTCACTTACACACTGCTTATACACACAAGATGTAGAGCAATACGCAAATATCTTTACATATGAAAAAGGCTTTTTCAGTTCATTTATAACAATTTGCTTTAGTATAATATTATTATTAGCAGTATTATTTATTATATCCATATTTATATTTGTTTTATTGAAAACAAGCTTAGATTTGCCCACCTGTCAGGTTTTAGACCATATGGGGCACAGCATGTGTATTAGGATATAACTTATTTGAACACACTTCGTTATTATTGTTCATTTATTTGTTTGCTGGAAATTAGAAATTAATTTAGAAATAGTTTTGAAACAAATCTTTGCGCTTAACAAACAAAATTAATTATTTATAGGCTAATTGATGTCTGTGCGTAAAGGTTTCCCTATCCACAAGAGCAAAAGCGAAAGTGAACTTACTTTACGTCAGGTAAATAGCAAATGCGCTTATGGTGCGACGCAGCTGGCTCTTAAAGGGAATGGGAGATGAGACTTTGATTGGTTTATTCTCAAAACACAACTATAACTCGTTAAGAAAATAAACTTAACCCTTTTAGACCATGCACCACAGCGCAAAGCTGATTTTCCCGTCCTTAAATTAGCAAGTATGGATTCTGACATGCTCTGAAAGCGTTTCCGCCCTGCGCTTTGCGTTTTGCGCATGGACCGTCAAAATAGAGCCCATAGTTTTATAAATCCAGGTTTTGTGCTTGGTTTAGTTTTGTGTTCTTGTTTTCATTGTCTGTATATTCACTTAGGGCTGATTTCATTGTTTAGTTCAGTGTGTGTATTTAAGTCTCAGTCTGTCTTCATTGATGTTTGTGTCGTTGACCTGTTCATCTATTTTATTAGATTAAAAGCGTTGCTGTGTACATAATTTATTTCTATTCTCTTTAATCAGCACTAACACTTTATTTATTTCTCAGATGACCATTACTGATTAGTTAAGGATTGTTATTGATATCGGCCAAATTGTTAAAGTAATTTTAATGCTATTTCATGTTTCATGTATTAGTCAAACTTGTGTTCAGAAATAAAACATTAGTAGACAACAAATCCTTTACATTTTACTATAATTTACATATAATTAGAAATGCAGTGTTAATTTAGCATACAGGGCCCATTGTAACTGAAGGAGACTTTCACAGAGGAGTGAATGCAATGCAGATTTCAAGAGTTCACACTTAGCTGATGGTTGATTATAAAGCATGTTTGACATGCAGCTCTGCACAAGACTTTTGGCCAGTGGAGAAATTAAAATGGTTGTGCCGAACTAAGTGTGGTTTCTCTCAAGGTTTTTTTTCTTCACTCTACTATCAGTGAAGTTTTTTTTCCTCTTCGCTTTCGCCACTGGCTCGCATGGTTCAGGATCGGTAGAGCTACGCATCGATGGATTTGCTCTTCAGTGTTTGGACTCTCAGTAATGATTTTAAACCACACTGAACTGAACTAAACTGAACTGAACTTAAACACTAAAAACTGAACTACACTGATCCAGTTACTATGACCATTTATGTGAAGCTGCTTTGACACCATTAACATTGTAAAGGCGCTATTCAAGTAAAGCTGAATTGAATTGAAAAAATTGAACATGCTGTCCCGGGAGAGAGCCATGAGCTCAGAATATCTTCGAGCCCTGGGCTCCCCCACGTTTGAAGGGCAAGAGCAGAGTTTGAGCTTAGGTAGGTCTCGAGAAGTCTTCTGCTTGTGAACTTGTTAGGAATAGCTGAGATATAGATGGCTAAGTGTTTGTCTTGAAGTAGTCAATTTATTTATATTGTATGTTTTTGGATGGTGGAAGGAACCCTGAGTAAACCTACGTGAGCATGGGGAGAACATCCAAACTTCGCACAGAAACGCTGACTGGCCTGGTGATGGGTCGAACCAGTGGCGTTCTTGCTGTGAGGCAACAGTGCTTACCACTGGTTGACCGCGACGCCTATCAGAAGAAGAGTAGGAAAAGGGGGGATTCTTCAAGACGAAGATGACTGAAGTGGAAAACTCTGGATATTTATAGTAAGTCAGTATTCATCTGATTGGCGCAATATGTGGAGCTGATGCAGGATCAGTCGCAAGCAATCATAAGCATGTGATCCTCTCGAAATTAGTTTACAAATAAACC